GGTGGGCAAGCCTTTGCAATTACGAAGAATACCGCCCGGCGATTGAGTATAATAAGAAACGGGAGGAGCGTCAGCAGTGTGAGTTACCTGATAATTGCCGTTGCTTTAATGTCCGCAGAATCAATGGCTATAGATTTTGAAGTGGAAGAAAAGTTGGGAAAGTCGAAATTCTCGACGAATAAGCAAAGATCCAGCAAAGATGACGGCCAGGACGACGAACCTGAGGATTCCTCAGAATCGGAGACGGAAGACGACGAAGCGGAATTGGTTACAGAGGCTGTTGATTTGGAAATTCTGGCTACAATTCAAGCGATTCGCAACAAAGATCCTCGAGTCTACGACACTGACGCGGTATTTTATACCAAATTGGATGAAGAAAATGTACCCACGGGCCGAAAAGAACAAAAGCCAATGTTTCTACGGGATTATCACCGAGAGAACCTTTTGCGGGGCGCAAATGGGGATGATAATGAGGAGGATACCCCAAAAACATATGTGCAGGAACAAGAAGAGCTGAAACGCACCATTGTGAAGGAGATGCACGCTGCTGTAGATGGAGAAGCTGCGCCTAGCCACGAAGATGATGGGGTTGACGATGACGACGGATTCCTTATTCGGAAATCAAAACCAGAGACTGCTGCTGTGGAAAGAAAGCAGATCACAGAAGAAGACGTCGCTGATGCCGACAAAGACCCGGAGAGCTTCCTTTCTAATTTCATGGCTTCTCGGGCGTGGGTTGCTAGTGAAAGAGCTAATTTCCAACCATTCGAATCAGACGACGACGAGGAGGAAGCGAAAGCTGAAGCATTTGAAGAAGCGTATAATCTCCGGTTTGAGGATCCTAATAAGCTCAATGAAGCTCTAGTTACCCATGCCAGAGATACAACGTCCAAATTCTCAGTCAGGAGAGAAGAGCCAAGTGGCAGAAAACGGAAGCGAGACGCCGAACGACTGAAGAAGGAAGAGGAAAAGCGACAGCGTGATGAAGAGCGTGCTCGTTTGCGCAAACTGAAGATTGAAGAGCTTGAAGAGAAGGTTGCGAAAATCAAGAAATCCGCAGGCGTTCGGGCGGACTCTTTCAAAGATGAAGATTGGGCACGATTCCTTGACGACAAATGGGATGATAAGCAATGGGAGGAGGAGATGGCCAAGCGGTTCGGAGACTCTTATTATGCGGCTGAAGAGGCCGGCGACAGTGGCAGCGATGGGGCCGAAGGGTCCACAAAACGACGCTTGAAGAAGCCTACTTGGGATGATGATATTGATATCAAAGATATAGTACCAGATTTTGAAGATGAAGATGATGGCGTTGATATATCGGCAGCCGCTGACGACACGGATGAGGCTGGCGAGGCGGACCACAAGGGCGCTAAGAGAAAGCGATTACAGGACAAGAAGCAAAAGCAAAAGGAGTCGAAACTTGAACGAAGAAAGATTGAGCAGGTCGTTGACCGGAACCTGGATCTGGACGCGACATTGCTACCGGGTTCATCCAAGAAGTTCTCTGGTACCTTCCGCTACCGGGAGACTTCACCATCCAGCTTTGGGCTTACGCCTCAAGATATCCTTATGGCAGACGACAGCCAGCTCAACCAATTCGCCGGGCTGAAGAAACTTGCCACGTTCCGGGCACCCGACAAAAAGAAGCGCGACCAAAAGAAGCTGGGGAAAAAGGCGAGACTGCGGCAATGGCGAAAGGAGACATTTGGTGATGAGAATGGACCGCAGATGCCAATCATGGCCGAAGCGGAGCCAGAAGCCTCCACCGACAGAGTAGTCAAGGCGTCTAGTGGCGATACTGAGATGAAAGTAGATATACGGGAAGGGAAGAAAAAGAGAAAGAGGTCCAAAAAGCACTGAGGTGCAGGATCAGGTTAAAGACGTGTATTCAGCTCTCTTGTCATTCAAGTTATACAAATACCAACCTCTGTCGATAATCAAGCATGGCGTTTTCATTAAGATTAGAGCCGATGATCCCAGTTTCCGAAATCTGTAAAAGCACCGTCGAGTGCGGATTTGACCACAAGCCATTTACCATGGAGACAGTTCTCTATGGAAAATTTTTGGATTTTATTCACGGTCTCATCGCACCGAGCGAAGTTAACCGAGCTTCAGACCATGGGGAACCGGGTAGCTTAGCGTCAGGACTCCATCTTTCTCCTCCAAATCCTCAGGCACCAGAGGCAAAGAGCGCAAAAGTGTAAAATCCTTGAACGGGATGGCAAATCACACGCAGCATCCGCGGTGGAGCAGCCCGAGTCTTGCAGCAACCGCCATCGCGACGCTCTGCTGGGCGGATGTTCGGGAGATGTCGGTTACATTGGCCGTGGCGCCCAAAGCGGCTTAGCGCTGGCTGATTTTTCGCTCCCTTGCCCAAAATACCAAATTTTTCATTATTTCTTCTCCTTCTTCCTCTTCTCTCCTCTTCTCTTCTCCTCCCATCCAGCCTCTTTCTTCCTCCATCCTCGTCTGTACAGACACCCGTCTCCGCCTTCGCTCTCGTCCAACCCTCTCCCCTCCTTTCTTTACTTTAGCTAGTACAGAAAAAAATAAGTCACAATGGCTGCTAACCAGAAGGACAAGTCCTTCATGGGCATGCCCGTAAGTACCCTTTGATCCTCCATCAACTCGCCGAAAAAGACCTCCATTTGAGTCCCTTGGAATAGCTTTTCCTCCATTGGAAGAGCATTCCACTGTCAATGGGCGGCTGGGGGGCTTGAGAACAATCTCGTTCGTCACGGGTGACCTTTGGACGTTTTGATGCTAACTATGCCGTTTCGCATTTGCAGGGATTCGTGGTCGACTTCATGAGTATGTGAAAAATTGTTATCTTTGATCTTTAGGTCATAAGCGCTTGAACTATTGTCATCATGACAACCAGGCGATTGGCAAAAATTTTCACCGATGGTGAACTGGGCTAATCTTTTGTCGCAGTGGGTGGTGTCTCCGCCGCCGTCTCGAAGACCGCTGCTGCTCCTATTGAGCGTATCAAGCTCTTGATCCAGAACCAGGTATGACCATCCCATACGATGCTCCGCGCAATTCGATCGAGTTGAAATCGAACGCTGGATTGATCGTGCGCTCCCATCTAAAAAAAAAGCGCAATCCATTAACTTATTCGACCTGCAGGATGAGATGTTGAAGTCTGGCCGTCTTGACAGGAAAATACACGGCATTGTCGACTGCTTCCGCCGCACTGCTGGTGAGGAGGGTGTCGTCTCTCTCTGGAGAGGTAACA